GGGGGGGGGCGATGAGAACAAAGCTTGATTTTCACGTACCATGCGAATTCAGTACTCTTCTTCATCAATACAATCCTTTTACCTTGCTCCTAAAGGAACATTTTTGGTCTCGACGCCAGGCGTCGCTCCTCTTTCATGGATTGTAAAATTAGAAACACGCCCCTTATATATTATTCCTAGCTACCCTCTGTAACGACGTCTGTAAACACCTTGAGAAATGTAAAAGGAGTACCCCGTGAGGGGTGCAGATTTTCTGTACAATTTTCTACCTATTGTTTTGACTATAACGAAGGGAGTAAACAATTTCGAAATTCGTAAATTAATTCCAAGCGCTATATATAGTCGATTACGTCGAGCCGCAAGTCAATCCGCCAGTCAAAATATGATCGGGACGTCCACTGTCGCCACATGTGGACGCGCTTAGAGTTTTCAGATCTCTTTTTCATTTTGTTAGTTTTCTTTACTTTTCCATTCTTTCATACCCTTCGAGTGACCCTGAACCCTGCAGTCAGCGGATATCCGCATGAGCCCCGAAAACAAGTTAGGTTTTACTTTGGGTAGGAAAAAAGAGTCGGAACAAAAATATAGAATAGACAGTAGATCCAGACGGCATACGAATCTGCCTGCTTAAGCACTCCGTTGAATTGCCAAGAGCACGTTGCTGAATTTCTCCAAGTCGTCTTTATACTCTTCATCGTCGTCCTTTGGTCGATCCACCCTCGCGTCCAGAATGTTCCCGACCCAGTACGACCCCATTCACCTCGGCATTATAATCCCACTCTCATTTGGACCACCGTGGAAAAGATCTATTTTCTCAAATCTTACCATCCATGCCTTGCGTCTCTCTTAGCGACATCTTAGCATCCTGGCAGCCTCTTACAGCCCTAATGGGATTGAAGTGCTGCCCGCGTCCTTTCAATCTGCATGTAACTCCTGTGAAGAAGGAGCCCACGTAGGCAACGTATCCTGGGATCCAGAGCACAGTAGTCGTTGTACGCTGTATGCATCACGTAGCACATGGCACGTAGGATACTCGTCATTATGTAGACTGGTCCATAGAGGGATCCAGCTTGCCGGACCTGGTGTACAGGAAGAGAGAAAGAGAGTCCTTCTTCTATGTAAGCCACGACACTGAATAATGGTTCACGTTTTCAAAGTTACGAGCATCCGGTCTACTTGGTGCTGCATTATCGATGGGGCAGGGCCTGTTCCTGGGTACCTTTAAAATTTTCAGGGTATAGATGAGCGTCATTGATGAATGCTGGTATTCGTCAATATTGGAATTCCGAGGGTGTACCACAGGAACCATGGGAATTTAATGTAAGCACTAAACTGGACTGCTTGAAAACTAATTGAACTATTAGATTAATTATAAATAGTAAGAGAATAAAACTGAAGGACTCACCGTCGAAAGTCACGACTCCAGCAGGCATAGATAACAGGATTCATGCCGCTGTTGATCCATCCCAGCCACGTGACCGCAGCAGAGACTATTTCTTCCTGCCAGATGCACCTGGTGCAAAATCCCGACCACAGATTGACCACGAAGAAGGGAAGCCAACACACTATAAAAACGCCCATCACGATACCAAGAGTCTTCGCAGCCTTCTTCTCCTTCGCGAATTTCGCGAGCTTACGCGAAAGAGAAAAGTTCTTGCCGAGATGCTGTTTGTTATTGAGCCTGGTGGATGGTAGCCTGGCGAGGCCATTATTGTGAATTGCCGTCAACGGCTCCTCGAGGTCCTGAAGGTCCTCAGGAGTGCTGGACGCAGTGCGAAAGAGATGCCTGGCGTCGGCGTTCGTCGTGCCGCCTCTGTGTATACGAAGAGTCAACTCAAGCTCACCGGAAGCCATCATTACCTGCTTCGTGCCCAACTTCAGACTTCTGGTCTGTATGACCGCCGCCCTGTATATCCTGTAGTACGTGAAGACCATCACGAACAGAGGTAGATAAAAGCTGATCGTAGATGAGAATATCAGGTAGCCCAAGTGTTCCGTGAAGGGACACTTGTCCTTGGGGACCTCTTCGGTGCGAACAGCACGCCACCAGGCTATGGCAGGGAAGGAAATGGCGCTGGAGCAGATCCAGACTATGGCGATGAGGATGGCGGCACGCTTTCTACTCATCCTCGTGGGGTAGGTGAACGGATCAGTGATGGCCCAGTATCGATCCAGACTGATCACGCAGAGATTGAGGATCGATGCAGTGGAGAATAGTACGTCCAGGGAGCGCCAGACGTCGCACCAGTCTGTAGTGAAGAGCCACCGATTCTCCAGGACTTCGTAGATGGCGCTGAAGGGCATCACGACCAGGCCCACCAGGCAGTCGGCAAATGCAAGTGACGTCACAAAATAATTGGTAGCAGTGTGAAGGTAGCGTTCTCTCACGACTGCCAGGATAACCAGCATGTTACCAAAGACCGTAGCCACGGAGAAGAGGAAGAGGATTATAGCTAGGGCAGCCCTCTCCGACGCCAAATTCCAGAGTTCGTTGTGGGTCCTGTTGCTTGGAAAACTCGCGTTGTAGAAGCTTCTGTTGAGCTCGAGGATCGCCTCCTCCCAGCCGAGCAGGTAGACGTCACTCTCGTTCATGATGCCCGTTCGTCAGCTTCTTCCTCAGCTTCCTCACCGAGCGGACTCATCAGGTCATCATACCGCTGCTACCACTGCTTCCGCTTTCACTTCCTGTTCTCTGTCTTCTCATCTCTGCTCAAACTTCTTCCTCTCCTTTTCGATCCTTCCTCAGGATCCTTTCAGCATCGAATCACCCGGTACACTTAGCAACCTCACCGCCCAGTCGACTCCTCCGCTTCCCTCGCCCAGCGATCCTGAACAGCAACGCTCACTAGACTTCCGGTGGCTCGCCACAGGCTCGAAACTGAAACAGAAAGAATATTTCTTGGCTTAACAGGACGCGAGGGAGAGAGATGGCAAATCCAAAGCGTATAAAAAAGATCTCAGTTGAGAATCTTAGTGGAGCATGGATCTTCGTTCGTCTGGCATAAAAACATTTTGGATAAAAAGAGATTCCTTATTCAAATTCGCTTGGGGTCCAGGCGGGAGATTCAAATTGAAGCTGACAGGATGCCTAGAGGTAAATGAGTGGTGCCCAGAAGAGCCAGGTTAAATCGTGCAGGGGCTGCACAGGAAGAAATACTCAATGAGAGTAAGGGAGGGTAATTGATTTAAATTCACGAGGAAGATAAAAGAATCAGAGAGAGAGAATGAGAGAGAATAGCTTTGGCGAATATCACGTAGGTCTTTTAAGCAAGTAACTGGTAAATCCTGAACTCCCATCACGAAATCCGATTTTTTTTTTTCAAACAAATCCATTGTCACTCCCTCTCCCACCCGACACCCTTTTTAAAAAAGCACGTGACTCTCCTTCACCGCTCGGCACTTCCACGGACAGTGCTACGGCTACTGTCTGGATTCAAATGCACGAAATACTCATAATTAGCGATACGACAGTCAAAACGTTTAAAGCGTCCACGATGCTCGACTGCCTACGTCATCCGGCTCGTTGTCTGTCCCTGGACCCCATTCAGGGATCCCTAGTATTAATTTACATCCGTACCTGCATACCCCTATATATCTCTGCACGCTTTATTGGCTATGTACATTATTCATCCAGGCATCATGCACTGTCCTGTGCGCCGAAACAAAGGGCGTCAAGTTATAATGGCGCCATATTACATTTTCCACGGGCGACTTATTATCATCGAGTACCGAGATAAGAGCGATAATATAGAAAAAAAAGAGAAATAAACGTCGTGGGCCCCCTGATTCCATAGAACAGCATCTCATGTGCTGGAATCCAAAAAAAAAACCCTGGAGATTCGCATCTCCCGAAATTCCCTAGATAATTATGAGTTTTAGCAATGGTTGGAAGTAAAGTGAGAAAAAACATTTAAAATAAATCCAGAATATAAATCATTAAATCTGGTAATGAGAAACGCGAAAAAGGTGATTTCAGAAAATTTAAGAGTAAAAAGGGTCAAAGAGAGAGAGAGAGAGAAGTGAATTCCATTTATTTGATCAAGGATCAGCGGGGGAGAGAAAGAGAGAGAGAGAGAGAGAGAGAGAGAGAGAGAGAGAGAGAGAGAGAGAGAGAGAGAGAGAGAGAGAGAGACAGAGAGAGAGAGAACCATGAATTTAACGATAAGCCACAGCTATATTTGGCACGCGATTCGAGTAGCCCAGTGGAGTTACTCGAGGGCGTAAAAAGGGGCAATTCGGGGTGTCGCGGGGTGGCTTAGGCTCTAGGGGATGGCTCGCTCTCTCATCCGTGATCCGGGCGAATGTTTACCGCTGCTTGGTCAAAGCAGATTCGCTCCCGAAGCTACATGAGCATCTCTCGAACAGGTCGGGCTGCCCCGGAACATGCTGAAGCATCCCCAGTAGACCACCCCCTTACTGTACACCCCCCAATACCCGGTATCCTCGATTCTCTCGATCCTCTCAACCCAACCATATCGCCCACACGCCTTTCCACTGCGACCCCTCTCCCATCTCTCTCTGTAGACCCCACATTACGTCTTACGATACGTTGAGGAAAAAGATCTGAATCCTTAAAAGTAAATTCGACGCCGGCTCCACTTGACTGTAAGTAGATTTTTGACATGACAGCATTCAAAGATCGTTGAATTATATATAACCTAACCTCTTTACCTAATATGACTTATGTATACTTTCATCCCTTGCTCTCTTTCTCTCTCTCTCTCTCTCTCTCTCTCTCTCTCTCTCTCTCTCTCTCTCTCTCTCTCTGTTCCATTAGCTGTGCGACACGTGTATAAGGGATCCTATACAAGATGAAGGATATCGACACACTGAACAAAGTCCATGTCCATGGTCATGAAATTCAGATCAGTTGAGAGATGTTCAGAGCAGTTGACCAGGACCAGGAAACCTGATGGATGAAAATATTTTAAAAGGATTAGAAAATTTGGTTGCTGTCATATTTACTAAATAAAAAATGAACCCCAATAATTACAAGATTTATATACAGGCTGTAATGAAAATTTTCAAGAGAAATCGTGTTTACGAATAAATGACAACCTTGGAGAACGAATGGAAATCACATAAAAACATGAACGCCAGGTACAGAGAAGCTGTACCGCTTAACCACTTCAAAATTTACGACGGTCAGCTCTTATGCGGTCGGGTCTTGAACTTCGGAGAAAAATTATGAAAACTGGAAAACTAGGGAGGTTCACTCGAAATTACAAGGAAGAGATACTAAAATTTCCGAAATAAAATACGGAGCCACAACCTGGTCTGATTTATTAAACGAGACATGAAAAATAGGTGGACAAGCTGTTCCTGAATAAAGGGAGTTAAGTATAAATTTGAAAAATATGACACAGTCTAACGCCACGGAATCTCCTCCCCCACCCATAGGGCCTAACGATGTAGCCGCAAGTTTCAAACTTTCAGATTTTGTGACGCGCATCCCAGAATGCGACGTCACGAGTTATATGTATATCAAGCTTAGGGAGTGATCATGCAATTTCGCTGATAAATTACCTAATTACTTCAGCCATTGAGAATCACGCTGCGATTGACGTTTCTATACGTGCAAACGGCAATTCCGCTCAGACCGGAACGCAAGGACCAGCTGAATAGGACCAGCTGAATTTTGGCTTCTGTCATAAGACCCCCCACTCCCATTTCAGTTTCTCCTCAATGGCAGCCTACGTACAACAGTTGCCTATACATATGTACAGTCCTTGACAGGAGATCTTGGTAACATTACAGATTCGACCAGTGTGACAGTCACTGTAATTGACCAGGTCTCAAAGGACACGAGACAGTGGACCATGTCTCTAATGGAGTCTGTGACGTTTCTCAAGGTTGGATGATAGGCCTGGCCCTCGAGATATAAGTGGAGGGGTAGTACGGCTAGACAGTCTACCGAGAGTTGCCCTAAGGGATGAAATTAGACAGATCGAATGAAAAGTGAAAGACTCAATAAAAAAAATATTTACCTTTATTTCTGCGAGTCAAGTAAACCGAGTAGTTTGTACTTCTCCAAGAGGAAAAAAAAAAGATTAAATTCTTAGACTCGATGGATTCCCATCGATTCCAGATTTATTTTTCCTCGAATCAGGTTTTATTTCGATAATATGCAAAGTTTACCCCATTAAATTAGAATAAACGCCGCGCTATCTGGATTTCATTATATTCAGAAAATTAATAGCTGGAGGGGAGGGCTTGGAGCTGCGGTTCGCGAAGGAGCTGAAAAAAGAAAAAATTTAATAAAATAGAGAAACTTTCCATGAGACGCTTGATAACTTGCCCAAAAGCCTTCCCCGCGTACCGTTCCACTTTACTGTTCTTGCGCCATTTTGTCTCCTGGCTATCTGTCTTCTCCCCTTCTCTCTCACTTGCCATCCCTTAGCCATCATGTCACTTCACTGACACGAGGAAACATGAAAACGGTACGATTGATCGACGCGAAGAATAGAAGAACTCAAATTTGAGGAGAAGGTCGGGACATCGGTTTCTTCGCTAACTATATTTCCAATACGTAGTGGATGTACATATAAGGATGATCAATTTCTAGAATTCGTCCTTTTGATCCCTAAAGAAAAATACTAGTGAAAAAATATCCTGTATAATAATTTTAACTGTCAGCCACATCCTCCTGCGTCCATAAACCGTCCAATCGGTGTTACAGTAGACGAGATAAGGACGATAAGGAAAAGGACAGTACGAAGGGTTCCCTCTTATCTGTGCTTCCTGGTTAAGATTTCGTAAAACTCTATATCGTACCAAGGGATGAAGAAATCCGACAACAATGCCCAAAATCTGCCTAAACGAGAAACCGTCGTTCTGTCCTGTGTCAAGAAGACAAGAGAGATCTCATCTAAATGTCAGGATTCCCTATACTCTCTTAAGTCCTCCTAGAGACAGAAGCAAGGCTACGTCTGTTATAAGAAAAGAAAAGCAAGAAAAAAAAAAGGAACTCACGTGGTTGGTAGTGGACAAACGGGCGTCATTGTTCTCAGGACACGGTCCTTTTATTTATTTATTACTACTCGTTCTTGAAGCACTCTTAGTAGTAAAAGGCCATTGCGACAACGGCTACAAGAGCAGCGAATGAATAATAAAACGGCATGTGTTAGACTCGCCAGAAACTTTTCCATTATCGAAAGAGGTTAGTCCTATGGCCAAAGACAGAGCGAAGACCTAACGGGAGAGAAAGAACTATGATAAAAATAACCTGCAAGACACAAAGGTCGTCGTTCTTTGACATAAACTATAAGAAAATTCCATTGGAGCTTGTATATAATAAAATAATTAAAAGTCTGGCATATATCGAATGAAATTCTTTACCTTTAAATCCATGCTTCGCAATTTTGTGGCTAGTATCTACGGAAGCGGCTAGCAGCCAATAGCCAATGGCTGTATCGGACCCGACTGCACGTTCAGTTTGAGGTTATTATTTGATCGTGTTTTACACTCGAACGGTTTCTCTACCGATGATTCTGTTACTCCTTTGCCTCTCTCAGTCTCCTCTGTTATGCCCGTCCTATCTAGGATATTCACCATACTTTTCCAACCCTCTAACTACTCTAGAAGCGACATCAGCCGTCGTATCTGTTCATCATGCGATTTCTCGTTTGGGCCGTGACATTAAATCGTCTCGAGGAGTCGAGAGAATCGTGTCTCCTCCTTTCTCAAATAGGTTATGTCTATAGCACATGTAGCAATAATAATGTAGCATGCTCTACAAGGCACTGTCATGAATACAGTGATATAGAAAGGAAGACTGAAGATCGATATGAAAGCAGAGACGGCAAATCGTAGACGGTGTAAATCAAGAGTAGCGTCGGTAGCGAACCGTGAAACGGATAGGAGGATATGCTTATTCTTTAGAAGGCTCAAGGCTGACGCATGCGCGCCAACCACTTCCAGGTAATTTGTAACAATTACTGCAGCAACGATGAATACGAATGTCTATCTGCTTTCCTATACCTACGATCCACCACCTACCTTCCTAGCAAAGCCATCCCGTGTGCCAACATCAGCCATGCACGATTCCGCAAAACTCCTGGAAACGAGCCAGTCTGCTTCTGCTGCTGCTCCTTGGAAATCGACTTCACTCCATTTCTCATTTTTCTCTCTGACATTCTACCCTCTTCGTTCCACTTTTACACCTCTTTTATTCTTTTTACGTAACGACAGACTATTCTATTATACGCGGCGCAGCCTTCGCTTTATAACTTCTCCACGTCATTCGCCCGGGCAACTACGTAACGTCGTTGCTCTCAGGCTCCACTTTGTTGCTCGTGTATAAGGATACTAGTGAAACTCTTTAATGCGAATCCTCACTGAACTTTTATCCCATAAAGTTAGCCGATCGTTGACGCGCGTCTCTTCTGTTTTCCCTGAGAACTCTGTCTTTCTGAACAGAACTAATTTGCGATCTCGACGCTCGAGCGAAATGGAAACTTAGTTTGCTTGCCGACAGATGGCGACAGTGCTGGCCGTTACGGCGGACTGAGGAATTTTTAAGTTTCTAGAGCTGCTAAATGGAATAAAGGAAAATAACGAGGATGGGGTTGAAGATTTGTTTTTCTTGGAGGAAATACGTTATCAAGTTACGCAAGTTGTAATTGCTAGAATTGCTTTGTTAATCGAGAATTTTATAGTTTGTAGATTTCCCCGAGTTTTATTAGTTGAACGCATAAAATTCGAATCGGCCGACGAACGTAACGTTTCTCGTCTCCGACGCAATCGATTCGATCAGATACGACTAGAACATTAAAGCCCAGCGTTAAAAATGACGAGCAGCCAGGTTCACCTGTTGCGTTTCCACGGGAGGTTATAGAATCTAGACTGACGATTGCAAAACGTACGAGAGAAAAAGAGAGAGAATCCAACTGCCAAGAACTAACAGTTTCTCAGGCACTAAAACCCAGTTTATCTCGACACAAAAGGGATTAGAGGAACAGGGATGATTCGATTGATCAGAAATGATAATTAGGTCGGTATTCTTCCTCCTCTCGTTTTACGTTCGAATCCCAGGACCGTCAGGACTGTCATCTACAAACATCATTCGGCATTTTTTGACAGATCACGTACACTACGTGCCTCTCTCCCTCTCTGATCAGTCCTTTTCTTAGCGTGGGCTTTTTCTTCAGGCCCATTCTCACGTTGTAGGTCTTCCGAAGGGAAGGATACGTATTCCTGTGTTTCGACTTCAAGGCACCTACTGAGCAAATATTTAGTTTGAACTGAAGTCTGACTGCGCCCTGCCACCGAATGGGGTGAATCTGGAACTGTGAATTTCGAAAGGGAGGAATATCAGGAGAGTAAAAAGAAAAGACACACACCCTCTCTCTTTCTTTCCTCTAGAAGAATATACAGTCTGTTGTTTTGGGTACTCAATAGACTCGCAAGGGTCTCCTACTCGGCAGAATTAATGGCAGAAAAGCCGAGAAGGTTAGGAATATAAGGGCATTGAAAAAAGCAGAAGTTCAAGGGCGCCATGAAAGCTCAACACTAATTTATATCTCCGGCGCAATGAGAAACGCTTCGCGGTCGATGATCATAATAACGAAGCGAGTTAATTTATTGGCCAGCCAGGATGACCTCACCGCTCGCAGGGGTCACTGGCGTTAAGGAGAGCAAGGTTGCACCCTTGCACAATGACACGGTTCCGATCACATTTGGGTTAACGCGACTTTGCCCTCTTTCTTATTTCCACTCTGACCTCCGATGACCTTTCCAGCCCTCCCACTTTCGTTTCACCGAATTTGCCGTACCGAGACGATCATCCCAAAAGCTGCGTCCGGTGGTCCCCTGGGCCATCACTCTTTGCGAATCCCTGGACACGCTTCGATAAACTGCCACGTTCAACTTTTAAGGTCACAGAGACAAGAATATTTACGGTGTTTTCCTCCCAGCAAACCGTTGGCTATTCATAGACACCAGCCATGCTTATTATGAACCTGACTCGCTGTTGCTCCTCCATTCCTCTCCTTTGCCCACCTTTCCAACGCTTCATGTCGCCACTAGCATCGCTACCGCCATAGGTTTACCCCATGCCATTCCCTTGCCCCTTCCTGCCCCCCTGACTCGCCTCCACTGTGCTGTGCCGTTTCGACGCTTGGACGCTCCGAAGCCACAGCCTTGTGACACGTTAAGGTTCGCATAAACAAGGACTACGCGCGCGACACGCCATCGATATTCGATATATCGAACAGGAACGACGTTGAACTTCGTCCTTATGGATCAGCAACTGCGATTTCCCCGCCTTCTGTCACCGGACAATTCATCGTGACTCCCGCCTGCCCTTATCCTCAACCTTGCGTGGGCAGCTGACTCTGCTGGCGAGTCCTCTCCTGTAACTCAGACTCCATGAGTTGTGTGGCTACGCCGCGCGTAACGTCCAAGTCATTGGCACGAGACTGGTCGCCATAAGGAATGGCAGGAAGCTGAAAGCTGCTTGAGATTTCCTCTCGTACCTCTACCTTCGAATCGTCCCTCCAGTTTCTCTCGCACAGCAATTTCATCCCTTGGTCAGACGAACGATCCTCGTTCCAAATTCGCTTTGCATCTGCCCCCTGGGTGATGAGATGAAACATGAGTAACCGGAAGTGGTGAACTCTACAAGAAGTATCGTTAACAGCACATCTAATCAATAGAACGTCGATCAAGCGAGCGGAGGGCTCAAATTGGCTGGCGGGCTGTAGTAATTTATAAGGGCTGACTCGAGGGGTTGCGGTAATAAGGCCGCTGGAAGTGGCGAACCATCAGTTAGGTCGTTCGCGGCTCGAAATCTCATTGAGGATCGGCCCTCCCGAGCGGAGTAACATTAAGGGATGACCTCGTGCCAGAACAGATGCTACCCTCGTGGCTCATTCACTTTTGAAATAATTAATCGTCAGTGACCTCTCCTCCAGTCGTCGCGTCGTCCTCCCGCGGGATAGATGCTGCAAAAGTTTCGGACTCTGACATTCGCCTTCGCTCTCCTTAAAAAAAAAAAGAGGAAAAAAATAAGTTTAAGCTACTCTCTGAGAATTAGGGGTTTGGCGTTCGCAATTAAGAATGTCCACTGTCGTCTCTGCCCTTTATCGACCGTTTCAACCCTTTGCGTTGCCCCTCGTCCTCTGGATCTATGACTTCGTTCAGGAGCAGCGTCGGCCACTTCTAATCGGACCAACCACTCGGAAGAGACACGGAGATTAAGAGATTGCGCTGGAAATAAAGTAACGGCCGACAGAGGCGACGCCAATGGCAACTCTGGACACTGCGCTGGCTCAGCTGGATTTTCCAGGGCGTTGCGCAACCCCAATTCGAATCAGTTTCAATCCTCAACTGCAGGCCAGAAAGCAAACTCATTCACGAGATTAGATTTGACTCTGAAAAATTCTTACCAAGCAATAAGACCCCGTGATGCATGACGGGGTCGACGAGAGCTACGTCGAAGGGGGTCACCCGTTAGGGTTGCAATTAGTTTACGACGGCAGACCGAACGTCGTTGTTTACTGCGATCGTTAAATAAACCTTCGTAATATGCTTAGCAGCTCCACTGCGACGACGGTCAATTAAGAACGAGTAGCGAAACCGTTTATAGACATTTATATTATGTATATTTGAATCTACTACATTTGCTACATGGCAGTGCTAAGGATGTCTATTGGATATATGGACCAATGTATTCCGTCAATCTGTCAACTTTTTTTTTCTATGTTTAACAAAGTATTCGAATTTACTGAAATAACCAGGATGACTCCGGGTCCATCGATCGATTCTGATAAACGATAATAATAGAATCTTATGCGATGCATGCGGCTGTGATATTATTGGCGGAAGTTTCAAGGACCGCATCCGCTATTTTTATTATTCAGGCCGTGCGTAGGCAGATTCTATCCCGTGGGATGGTTCGAATGCATACCTAGAATGGGAAGTTGCCCTACCCAGAAGTAGCCTAGCACACACCCAGTCGCATTTACATACGTAACGCATGCACGTAGATGCGTATAGTGCGCCAGGGACGTATCGATTGGCCTGCCACGAATCTGCAAGTGGCGAGTAGAGGAATCAGCAAATTTTCCAAAGATATTGAACTCCTTCAGAGCTAGTGGATATCTGGTGCAGCGATGCTCCCCTTGGCACGGCTGAACTCTGTGGACGACTGACCCACTGTCCAGGTCGGTCGGAATCAGTCCGGATGAAAAGTGGGTTCTTGGGTTTCTGTTTTCACGAATTGCCCTGTAAGAACGAGGTGGGTCGATCGTAAACCAAAGGAAAGAGTGGTGAGCAGACGTCTGGAGGTGGCACAACTACCCTTGCTGAAATCCACGGGCGCATCGAGCTATTGGAGGCTGCCACTAGGGGTTGTAAATATCGGAAGGCGATCTGACGCACGCAGGGGTTACTCCAATCCCCAAGCGAGAACCTGGTAAGGATGCAGCTTCAAATATCACACCATTTCCCAATACATAAAGTCCCTGATCGAACGCGAGTCAGGATGCCAAATTCCATGAGGAAATTTTCTAAAATATAGTCAATTATGTTTTTTTAAATTCGTAGTGCTACTTTCACTCGGTAGATGTCGTTCTCAGTAGAAGAAAAAAAAAACGTACCACTTTAACACGCAGCAGCCTTGTGTTTTTATTCACTTGGCAGTCGTAGCTGGTAGCAACGTATTACTGCTGTCCAGCAATATCAGGAAACTAAAATTAGATAAAGTTAAAACGATAAAGAGAGAAAAAAAAGGTAAAAATTACTAAAATACTATAATTTACCAATACAGCGTGATACGTGTGATAACATTATTGCCGTATTAAATATTTTTGCGCCAGAAGATTACAGGAAGCAAGATATTAAAACAAAACCTCTGGCATGTATGTGGGACCAGTATAGAGGATGTTACGAGCGACCCTGACACATGCTGAAGTTCCTCCTGGACGATTCGCGATTCACATCTGCTAGTAATTTCTCAGTGAGGTTCCTCCCGATAGCGCTATTTAATAATCCTGACGTATAAGAGTCGAGGATAAGTTTCCACACGACAGCGACGTGAAGTTAGCGTCACTCCGTGCGGGTGCCTGGGCCATTAAGATTGCTGTCGAAGATTAAGCCGCCTAAAGGATCCGAAGACAAAACGTGTGCTGAGGCTGAGAACTCAACGGAGATACTATAGGGAAGGGCGTTACGATTTCGAGATGTTAACGCCTTCGGGAACATAAATCCGAGTTGCGCACGACAGCCCGCAAGAACAAACGATAACCAGCACTTAACCGTTAAACGTTCGAACGTTCCTCATATCCCGAATTTACGAGTCTAGCTCTCCCTGATTCCGCTGGCTGTCTGGCTGAAGCACGTTCAATAGGCCGATTGAAAGATTGCACGAAATTGCACGCGTCCTCCTCTCGCCATTTTGATTGTTCCGTCAGAGTCACGATGTTGTATTGAATCAGCAAGCAGCAGACAGACAGACGCGCGTCATTCATTGCTAGAGTCATTCGTTCGGAATTGCACCTATGGAATTGTATATAGGTACGTACGTGCAGCTTCCCCCGTTGCTGCGTCAGCGCATATATGTATATTCAGAGACGCGAATTAAACGCCGTCGTCGACATCGTCCAACCTCGAACCGGCTGACATTAATCTCCGACATAGTTTGGGAACTAATCTAAAACTACCTCTTGCACGTTACATACGCGAAGCTACTCCACATTTTGGGGGGTTGAATTTCGTTAGGGTATTAAAGCTGGTTCTTGCCAATTGATTTAACTTCGCCAGACGTTCACCTGTCGCCATTTTCGAAAATCAATGAGAGATATTACTGCTGCCAGATTAGGTAGTCTTTGTATACGCAGATCGTTCGGAGAATTACGCTGCCGGCAGTCATGACAGTATGGTTTCGCGTGAGTATTAAAACAGAAAGGGAATTCACGGTCTAGGCGATGATATCGAAATTGACGGTTAGCGTTTTTTTTATCGTATTCAATCTTACCAATTTCTTACTTAGCTGATATCCTGTAGAGTTAGAAATATGGTGCAACTGTCTCCGCCAAAGATTTCCTGTCACTCTGTGGAATCCTCTGACAGCTGACTTAGCCTATCGAACACTTGGCTTATACTTTTCTCTGTTACACTTCACTTCCTAACCCTTCCACTGGAGCGAGAGGATTTCCAGAATCGGTTCGTATCCACAAATATTCAGCAAGATTCTCAGTAGAGAGAACGCAAAAGGCAATTCCATGCGGAAGAGAAGAATCGGCTGTCGCACGTGAAATAATACTTCGTGAATATAGCGCCAATATGACTGCCATCTGGCGGCGAATCACTCAACCGGCTACTCCGTTCAGTATTACAAAAAGAGACAGGGAAAGTAAAAAGCTTCCACGGACTGTCAAATGAGTTTGAGAACGTTCCAAGATAAGTAGAACATATCCTCCTTTCGTAAAATTTCGTTCTTTCTTTCTCTTGACCTGGTATTATATTGCGATATATATCGGAATACATTACTAACCAACAAAATTCAATCGCGACAATGCATTATATTTTTGATAACCTATATCACGTCTTTGGCCATGCATGGCAAGGATTTGGCATAGTTATGGAAGGTGGGTGAATGACAGACCTATGTGAAAAGATACAGGAGAATCCTGGACCCAAGACAGACTCCTGACATCGACTAATGTTCTTGGACAAGGAGAAACATTGACCAAAAGAATTGACCTAAAGGTTAAAGCACTATGTTATTCCCTTGACTCGATCCTTGCCATCTTGATCATTTGTATGTTTCCCTGTCAGAGCCCACTGTGAAACTGGTAAACGTCACGTAGCTGCCAAGTTTGAAGTTCTCTCTTGAAAACACGGGAGTCCATTAGACGCACCGATTACAACGTCCCGGCATCACGAGGTTGCATTAATCATCGTGCTATTTTTCGCGAACAAATTTTCACGCGATAGCCACGCATACAAAGTGTCGAACTATTAATTATCGCGTCAGTGAAAATACCCGGGATTCTCGCCTCTCACGCAAGAGGGTTGTTCGGTGTAAAAAGTACGACACTCGACCAGGATCAAGACTAATGCGTTCTAACTAGCTGTGCAGGTGCTGGAAACGGACCTCACCATTTCTGAACATCTTTTCCTCTTTATCTTCATCGTCGCTTCAGTATCCAGCATTTTCTCGTTGATGACCATGTAATTCTTTCTACTTGTCAGATAACGAAAATCAAGGTGCTATTGAGTTCGACCGATCAGTTACTATTTTTTGACATTTTATTTCGTCACGTTAATTTCCTTTTTTTCTTCATTAATTTTAATTTTATTCTTCTAGCGCTGCCTGTATAAAGTGTGTGAGAATCACTACGTGATGCGATTAACGCAACAAGGAGGAGTCGAGTCGGCTCGGTCGAAATTAGTTACTCGGGGAAAAAAACAACAATCAGCCTGGAGCGTCGTTCATTTGCAGGCTACGCTTTGACTTTTTGGTCGTACAAAAGGGCGTCTAGACACGTCAGGTCGACAAAACCGCGTCGAATGAACAAAAAGAATGTGAATGGTAAAGTCTCTTTATTTCTCTGCACAGGCCACAATTTGCATGGGAAATTAGATTCGTGTATTTTTTTCTTTGTCTTTTTTTCCTGATTCTTAACGCCTTTACCTTTTCCAATGGTTTACGAAAACAGGGCGACGCCTCTCTTGGGACACTAGGCAGCGTGTTGGAGAATCAAGATGGAACGAAAACCTCGAAGGCAAAAAGAAACCAGAATGAGAACTCTGCATTGAGACTGGCTACGGTGGTGGAGTGATTGAGTGAGGAGTTACAGGGGGATGGACGGACGTATGGCTGGAAAAGGCCTAAGGGTGAAAAGCAGGATCTTAAAGAAGAGATCCCTCTTGACAATATAACTACAAAACAGACAAAATGCTCGGAGACAATGAGAATCACGGCTAATTCCACGGCGCGTGTTAAAAAGGCTGGCCAACCGCCCAGCGACAAATTCTGCGTAGGAACAATGGTGAAAGAAGCACTTTGCCGAGGTTTGATTGGACATTTAATTTTTAATTTCGTTCGGCCCTCGAGTACTCGACGTGCTTTCCCAGACGCCTCACGGTTCTGTTCCTACTTTTTCACCTTCCGAAATAATTATCTTTCTCCCTTCATTTCTACTATTCTTCTCTGCTTATCTCTTTCTCTCTTTCTCTTTCTCTCTGTCTCTCTCTCTCTCACACTCACAATTAGCGGCTCCTAGCACTTCTCACACGACATGCAGAACATACACTGATATCCCTATCCCGTTATATCAAACTGAATTTTACAGGTATTCCTTCAGAGTATCTGGTATTATCTTCTGGAACGTCTTGCCTGAAAGGATAGGCGAAGCTCCTTCCGTTCGTGCCTTTCGACATTTACTGCGGGATTTTGTTGCTGCGCGGGAGGACTAGGGATTTCCGTTTATGTCCTGCCTGAATGGAGCTAAGGCTAGTCCCATTGAACTTTAACTGACGATATTTCGTTGTGGTTTTTTACCATGTAATCTCTTACTGAGCACTACACTCATCGCTGATGTAATCTATCTGTGCAGTAATGAATATCTTTCATTTTAGTTATAGCTAATCAGACAGTCGTTGGATCTTTAACATGGTAAGTTTAATTTTAAATTGACTGACCAAGGGGGTCAAAACGAAAACATCCAAGTTTAACGATACAAAAGGCGCACGTGCGTTTCTACTACTTCCTGGGATACGAAGATTCAAGAATATACAAAGACAGTTACGGTCCCGTAACGTGACACTCCTGCGCCACAACAAGAAAAAGTTCATAGTCTTGATACCGGACTGAAGAATAACTTTTTCCATGAATAATCTACACTTATTTCGATCACTCACCCAGTCCGAGTGACCAGTTTTTCAAAGGTACCACCTTCATCATTTTTGTGAGTCTTTTAAAACTAGATATCTTATACAAAGGACTTACCTATTTCAGGTAGGGGTTGAAAATGCAGAGGCTGAGTCCACAGTCAACTATGGTCCAATCACTAGGGATGCTGCGACGGGATGAAACAGCCAGTTTCAGAAGACGTATAGTTTGGCTGACCTCAGCTGCAATGGCTGCAAGGAGGCTGCTGGAAGACAGCTGAGCAGACTCGAATGGACGTACCCAAGGAAGTCTTCGATAAGATGGTTTTCCTTTGTATTAATGAGACACGCACGACTAGACACAACTAGAGGTTAAAAGGGCTCGAGTGAACGCGATTATGTCATACTAGATCTATTCACACTAAGCGCACTGGCCGCGCTCCAATGATTGACGCTGGACGCGTAGAAGGCTAGGTCCTTCTTGTGCAACCCCTAATTTATACTTCATAGACGTAAGCCTACGTATCAGCGTATTTTCCCCAAATTGATAAGGACGAACGGAACGATAACGGTCTAAAAGAAAACGGGACGGCGAGATGAACTTCCGGAACAGGCTAAAGATCCTGAGGGATCCTGCGACCTCGGCAAGACTCTTCCTTATCTTCGAATGTTCTTGCGGCCTTGATTATTCGCGCGCGCCCTTGACCTCTACCGAGTGTCCCCTACAACCACCCTTATTAGTAACCTTGAAAGTTGCACCCCTACAGCCTCAATCGGCCGCTACGTTCGTACGGGGCTACAAGTCGCCAAGATATTTTTTTCTTTTTTGTTAAACTTCACTTAAAAATTTCTCGCACGACTTTCTTCTTTTCTTTGCTTGCGTAACTCGCGCTGTGCCAATTGCTTTTCTTTCTTTTTCTTCTTCTTCTTCTTCTTCTTCTTGCCCGTGAAACTTCCGGTGCCACGGTTCGCCGTTCCACGTCCTCCCCTGCTCCACTGTCACCCCAGTGGGATGAATTTTCACATTTTTTTGATAATTCTCTATAGTACTACCCACGCTCACTTACTATGTCTTTTATTAATTCCTTTTTTTTTCTCTTACAGAAAAGTTCTGCACTACTTTTCGCGAAGAAGAAACGATTGACGTCACCTTCTAATTGGATTGGGTCGTCCAGGGGGATTCGAGATACAAAAAAAACACTGCCGCTAGTGTTATCCCGCGGATGTCTTCTGTGCTGTTTTTTTAAAAGATTTTTCGCTCGACGAAGAAAGGCAATGTGTATTCGCAAGATTCGCCAGCCCTGGAGATTCTCTTAAGCCAGAATTCCTCTTGGTCCTGTGGTTCGGGAGGAACTGGTAAGGAGCCAGAAAATGCTGGTATACTCCATCTGTTTTTTTTCTATTATTTTTTTTGGCAAGGACCTTGAACTTTGCCATGAAAAACATAAGACAGTCTCTTACGTTCCACCGTTTCAGCCAATCTTAACGAGTCTGACCCCAATCACAGTAACTCGACAATTGTCTCTGCCGTATATCGTCGCACGTATATCGCCTGCAATACGGAGAACGAGGATTCTGAAGGATCTTCATAATCGCACGGAATTAACCAGCCATTCGACAGGATAAGTTCATCCCCTGAGAGAGAGGTAAAACCGACCTCCGACCAAGTAAGATATTTCACAGAGCATTCTCTCCTGGTTAAAAGAGTTCCAAGCTTCGCGATCGCGCAGCATCTTCCTTCAATTTCCATATGAAAAGTATGAGACGTGGAAGGATAATCCTTTTCACTTAAATCCGTCTTTTTCCCTTATCAGCACCTTCCCTATACCTCGTCCTCTGTCTGGATTACGCGGGCAGACAGAGTGTAAAAAAACATTTTACGATAGCTTCAACTTCAATCTCTTCCTCATGATCTCGAGGTTTCACCCATGTCTGATTTCTCTCAGAATCGCAACAATTTGATGTTTTTTTCTCTTTCAGCAACCACCAACAAGACACCTTCGCCGCGGACTCCTGCACAGCTCTTCTCCAGGGCACTCAGTTGCTGAACTTCACAGGAAGGACGTCGCGTCAGAAAGTTTCCTCCGAAGCAACGTGAAAGCTCAAATCGGCGGGAAACGCTCGAACGACTTTTATTAGAAACTTTGTTTAACGTTACTTTCCCTCTCGCCTGTTCAACCGCTATGAAAACGCGACGATTCGCGGGATATGAAATTATCGTACCGCCACTAAAGGCTTGCGACCGTGCTAGTAACACCCAGGTAAGGTTCCCTGGTTGGTCACGTAGAAGCTTTTCCCGGAGTGGAGTAGCGGGAGTTTGGCGGGTTGCGAGAGACTGGCCGCGTGGCCTGAAAGCTCGAACCTCGCGCATGCGCAGTTGCCCACTTGCCGACGCACTTTTGCCCTTATCGCCCTCACTTTGCCCTGCGGCTCGAGATTCCCGCTTGCAAGTGGCCTGACTAGCAAGCTAGACCCTTGGTGCATGCTCGTCATACTCGTCACGAGGTTCCCGGTTGCCGTCATTGTCACTAATACCATTACGATTTTACTACGCTACAATCAGTTCCAGCACTTTAAAAGTCCAGCTTACACGATGCAACTGTACTTCGGTAAGTAAGTAACACTTGGTTAAGTAATTCCAATGGTAACAAGACGAAGTACCCATTGACCTGGCGACACTTAATTCGACTGTTGCATTTTAGGAAATTTCAAGAGGAACAAAATCGACGCTTTTCATTCAGCTAGATAAGAAATTGGGAGGTCTCTCTGTTCCTGGCCGATCAAGGGAACCGGCGGTGGCGGCCAAGCAGTACGTTCTGAGCTTTTCCCACGATCAACTTGGAGTTCCTGCTTTACGATGACACTTTTATACCTCCCATTATCCTTTACGTGGCAGTTCAGCTTATTCGAAAGTTTACTGCAAGCGTAAAAGCTCCCGGTGTGTATTAATTTCTAAGTACTGCCACTTTTTAAATGGGCTCTAATAGCAGACGGCGCAACCTGCTTTATGCCTTTGCAAGAGCGATATCGCATTTCCACGCCTTGCCGACGTTTTACTGCATCTACGTCACTTTAAGACATCTCATTTCCGGTTTCGATTATGAACCCTCACGAGTATCGTTAACCCCCTCTTGTCTTTTCAGATATATTGGCGAGTCTGCATATTGTACTTCAGCATCCCAACCTGGACCCACCGAGGATAATCTCATACCATTGATATCTGACATCATTTTACACTTAATCCACAAAGAAAAACTTAGGGATGTTACTCGTATCAGTTTATGGGGTCTATGCTTTGTTTATGATACATCATAATGATGTCTAGGATTAATTATAGTGTGGCTATTAGAATATGTGATCTCGCCATATCGTTCCATTCTCGTTTGCATGTCCCCAGATGCTTTGGCTCTATACTGCACAGTTTTATATGAAAATGTGGCTTTTAATGGTTTCCGACTAAATCGCTGGGGTAGCGTGGGAATAATTACTTTTTCCAGAATGAATTGCTTCTCGCGAGGATTTCGATAGAAATTGATTGAAACCCTCACCAACTGGGTGACTCGATGGTTTTATTCGACAACGAATTTCAATGGATTCCAAACTTGGCATATATAACCTCGCTCTTTCATTCTACGTTTTTAGTTTGCATCAGGCTACGCTAATAATGGTTTATGGCTTAAGAGGCGCTTTCTTTAGGAGATAATTTTTTTTGTTTAATGGATCAGGCTTAAAGGTGACTGTTGCTTTCGCTTATCTTAATTTTCAAAATTTTACATTGACAAAGCTGTATTTTCTAAAAATGATGTTATTTCATTTTCTATTATCGAAGTCGTGACCGCCCAAGTTTCTTTACTTGAAAATGCACCAGCTAATTCCATTTCCTTCAGGATGGCCCGAACTCTCGTCCAAAGGAATCTTTCTGAAAAAACAAACAAGATCGTATCGTCTGATCAAGTTACCGAAGAATCCAGAGAAAACTTTCTCTCGGTACCTCAGAGCATCTCTACTCGTGAAGGGGTCGATTGACGTTTCAGGGCATTTGAAACTCCCAAAAGTACACCAAGTGCCGGAAACGTGCGGAGGACGGAAGTAACGAGAGAACTTCAAAATCCCCACGTGCGTCGTCAGATTCCGCTTTGATTCACGACTTCCGCTTTCTTTTATCTCGCTTCCTCCTACGTACACCCCTTCACCCTATCGTGACTCCTTGCACTCCCCATTTATTTTACCCATTCGTTCTTCATCCCCCATCACGTGCCAATCAGTTTTAATACGGTAACTGGAAACTACCCCTTCTTTGGACCATATATTCCCCTCATTACGTACCGACTGAATCACCCTGAATCCCCTAAAAATGGTATAAGCTCCACTTTCACCTTTCTTACTCCAATCTAGTTTATTATATTTTAATCTAATTTAATTTAGTCTCTCCTGAAAAATCCGGATAAAATTACCAGAATATTTCCAACTATCTTCACTGATCCCACAGTTTTTATCCTAGATAATAGTTCCTGTTCCGGTCTCGAATTTCAACCTGGTAGCTTCCGGTTTCATTATCCCGAAACCCAAGCACAGTTCTGCTTCAACCTTGTTAAATTTGAGTGTCGCGAATCCGTAATTTTTTATAGATATTTTAGGGCTTCTTCTACAATGGTTTATAAATTCCTAGTACCAGGATCTGTTACCGCAGCATCCCTTGCTCCTGATTATAACCCTTTAGCAGAGTAGCTACCCTTACCTAAATTTACAAACATGCCAAATCTTTACTGGATAACTTTTCTGCTTATCGCAACCCCTAAATTAAGTTCCCACTTTCTATATTAATCTTCGAGGTGGTTTTCGGAAACAGGGCACGTGTCGATAACCTCGTACCGGAGCGAGACTCCAAAAGTTCCTAGTGCTAAGTAAGTTCTGTGGGTATTTCGCAAAACGGTGAAGTAACCCCCCAATCTGAAACAGGCTGTACTCCGGATATACTCTTCCTTCAGGAAACCAGCATCTTAGGCGATTTTCTATTCTGGAATGCCCTAAGCGCAAATTTTCATTTCTATTTCAGAATTTCCTCCAAACTCAGGAAACTAGGGGTGAATTGGGAATGCCTCAGGAGTGCTACTTGAACAACTTCCAATTTTCATACGTGTTTGCCTCAATGGAACTTCGTACGCCACATCCAAAAGAATTATTTTGACATTCGATAAAATAAAATTCAACCACATCCACGTGAAAAGTGAAATTCGGTTATAATAAAATTATTAAAAAAAAAAAAAAAAAAAAAAATTGATAGGAAATTTCAAAATTTTTTATTTACCAATTTCTTTTTTTGAATACATTTTCACATCCAACTCTCTATACTTGAACACCATAGTTTTGTACAGTATCAAAATAAGTAAGATTCAGCGTGGAAGTCTGTATGGGTTTTATTAAAGTCAGACGTGCATCTGCAGATATTTTATTAACAGCATCCGGAAGGACCTCTCTTGTGTAATCAACGATAACAAGATAACTACAGTCCTTTTTATTTTTTTCCACAGCATCCACCGCCTTGGTCCTTCTTTACGTCTTTGGCACAGCCCATAGATCCTGGTACGTCCTTCTTCTTCTCCTTGACGTCTTTCGGATCTTTGCAGCATCCCGAGAGACAACATCCTCCTGCAGCTTCCTTGGCTCTACGGATAAATTCAGTAAAGAGCAGCAGAGATTAACGGTCAATAAAATTTGTTGAAGACAGATATATATAAATCCATATACACAATATATATATAACTCAATAAATCCATATGGCCGCCAGTCGTAAATTAATATCCGCGTTATTATTCGAATCGATCATATTCATATGTGACCAATTTACGCACTATCACTTCCCGCCGGGACAGCAACTTTTCTTGTTATCCGTTGGCGAACCGCCGGAGCAGCATCCCCCACGTTCCTCCTTAGTACCAGCACAGCATTTAGAACCGCAACAACCGCCATCTTTTTTCTCTCTGCACATTCATTCGTTCATGCGTGTACTCGTGATTCGCAATAATTTTCGCCATGGCGGCCATACAGGTGTGAGATAATATTAAAAAAAAAAAAAAATGTACAATATGAAAATTCATACTTTTTGCTACAGCAACCAGGTAAGTCCTTTTCCTTGTCCTTCATCTTTTCCCTATCATCCTCCTTCTTTTCTCCACTGTAATGAAAATTTGCATATAATAAAATTTGAAAATTTTTTTTTTTCAAATCTACCTACTGTTCGCATCTGCACGTGACCTCTCCGGAATATCCTTTCTGGTTGGTGACTTTTCTAAAATTATTTTCCAAAAATGTCAGACAGTGAATACCTCATTACTTGAGGTACGTAACGAAATTTACTTTCAGTACTTTAAACATGCTTGTGTCTCGCTCTGTTGCACGCAGATAAATGGGACACAGAGATATTCAGAGTATTGATAATAAATTTGGAAACGTACCCTTGTACAGGGCCAAAGGATATAGAGGGATGATAAGAACTTACGAGCAGTGGTCACACATGTTGAAGCTCTAGGGCAGTAGAGGAGTGGGAATAAATTTAGTGGGATTTTCAAATATATCAGAGAGCTACGAAAATTTGAAAAATCTCGAGGAACGGTCGACTTGTGGAATTTCGAGTTTCTCCAAAAAGGGAGAATTTTTTTATATCAAAGAAACGTAAGACACATTTGACGAAAACAAATGCTGAGCTGTTACCGTCTCCATGTCTTCACCGCCTTCACGTCTTTGGCTGGTCGTTAAGGGTCTTTACGTCTTTTTTTTATTTCTTAAAAATCTCCCTGCTTACCAGCCACCCCCATCCTGTTATCATTCTTACTTTTCGGATGAATCAGTTATCAGACACGTTTGTACAGTCGGTAAGGAGAGTTTTACGGATCGAGTATGGGTAGTGGATTAAAATTTTTTGTTTAAATTCATTTATACCGTGAATACTGATAACACGTGACCAGCTCTAATCAGGAGGTACGGTAGAGAGATATAGTGTAATAGCAGAGTGGTACAGTCAGAGTGAAAAGTATGGCCAGGATCCATTGTCCTAATTTGGTGGACGGCAGAAGGAAATAGAATGAGAGATAGCGTTGAGAAAGTGAAAAGAAAGAAAAAGTAGAAGAGCAAGAAAAAGAAGAAGAATGAGCTACGGAGATATCGATAATCTCGTTGCGGCTATCCCAATAAATATTTCATGAGTGCACGTCGCGCCGGGGACTGGGTGGCAGCCGGAGGGATGGAGGTGTCAAGGGTCGGAGGTTTCAAGAGTTTCAAGGGGTTGATTTGGGCTGTGCGCCCTAGGGGCATGACAAACCCAGCAATCAGCCAATCCCTAGAGTGTCCGCGGTAATTTACCAGATCTTGGTGTTGCTGCTACTCTTGGAATTTTTCTCGAGAAAAGATCAGATCTTAGTGGTCCATGGGTCTGAGCTGCTGTGTAAATGTGAAGCAGAGAGAAAAGGGAGCAGTAATGGTTATTAGTCTAGTAAGCAGTGAAGTCCCACTGAGCAGCAGTGGCTGCGTCAATGACCAACCTAAAAAAAAATGGAACGATAATGGTTGGTACCGAATAAATATTCAAGTAATTTTGAATCTGCTAGTAGCCCATTTTCTGAGGCACCTAGAGCTGCCAACTGGACTAGGAACCATTATTGGTCTCCTCTTTTTCAGTGGGGACCATCCTCCTTGTATGGTAATCATCTGGATCATCCTGATCCTGGGACCTAGGAGTTCCTACGTACTGTGAACGTTCTACATAGTAAACTGGTACTGGAGTACATAGACCATTTACCATCCATAGAAGACAACGTCCAACCTGGTGGGATCTACTGGTCAACTCGTAAATTCAGCAAAGTGGCGACTAGCCGATCGGCCCGAAAACCTTCTACCAGGAAGTGGGAGGAACAAGTTGGAAGTCTTGGGAAAATTTACGATTGCAGAAGGCGTCGTTGCGTCTACGCGTGCGTGACCAGTGGAAGGTTACCCCTGGGGAGGGTATCGCGTCGTGGGAGCACGTGACCAGTTTCCAAGCCAAGAAACAACCTCAAGTGAACTCTTACGAGGATTGCGTACTTCAGCAGAGCCCAGTTAAGGAAGTACCAGGATGCAGTGCAGCTTATACCCTATTGGTTAACATTGGACCTTGGGGGTTAAGGTATTCTGTCGTTCATTTTGGGTCCTTAACCTCCTGACCCAGACTGATGTCAAAAGTCATAAAAATCTACACACCCTTCAACAAGTCAGCAGCAAACCCCAATCTTGGGCGATGATGGTCTTGATACTTACCAGCAGTTTCTGGTCAAACTGTACCAGATTTTGATTAGAGGATAACATGGACCATAGAAAACTTTTTGAAAATCAAATCTGATCTTACAGTAGTCCCTGATGAATCTTCCAGTCGTTCTAAAATCGTCATAAGCTTATCGCACGACATTCTCTAGGTTGTTACAGTTCTGGTCTTTACAGTTCTGGTTGTTATCTAGTTTATTCATCTAGTCAAACTTGAAAGACCCGGACTCCTTTTATCAGGCATTCATTCTACACTAATTTCAAAAACCAACAGAAGATGGGTCGTAGTACCGGAAGTTGCTCCACTCGCAATTATGTTAATTAAATATCTTCCAGAAGGTAGAATACAAGAAACAGAAATCAAATAGAGATTTTGGATGTGGTGTAAATATTCAAGGCTTTTACGAGTAGATTTCGGAAGTACTCCCACGCGCCGACGGTTTAACATTTAGATTACATCTGGTAGGACATAGAAGGAGGAGTGGGGAAGAAAAGAGAAAAGGATTTTTATCTTTAGCTGACTTTATTAATAAAGTTTAAATTAACCTGGGAAAAATGACGCCCGTTAATTATCACTCTGATGAAAGGGATGCACCGGGGTAAGGGTAGTTACCCGAAGGAGGCACGATTCTAATAGGTTGTCAGTACGGAATTCTTCTTGACGATCCAAAAGAGCTTCATTGGAAATCGATAAGACACCATTGATATTGCCTTCAACGAAGCCTCTGACCCAGCTGAAGAATATAACTTTCCTTAGATTTTATTATTATGGTCGTTATTACATAGCTAAGAAACGACGTTAATGAAAAGGTAGTTTTCATGAATAGATCAATGGTTAGAGCTAATAGAGACTCTCCTAAAATATCGTCACAGTATACGAATCTGGCTGTGTCCATTACAACGAATGTGTTTTGATAGTCGCCAACTTTAAGCATGGAAACGAAAATCTGTCGCTCTATATTTCAGCCGCGTATTCATCGATCCACTTACGCCCCAATGCCTTGGTCTCTTTGTTCTGCTATTTTTCCCTTTGCACAAGATCCATGTTATTGTTACACGCGCATTGGAAATCTCTCTTCTTTTTTTGTTTCTTAGAAATTTTGTCACCGCTTTTCGAGATCTTGATTGGCTTTTGCTTTTATTACTCGATCAGTGTGATTTGCCACTTATCACGTGCTCATGGCATCCGCTTAATTTTTTAAGAATTTATGGGATTCTGATCCAATACCCAGTAGACTTCTGGTCTATTATAAATTTCTCTCTCTCTACATTGGAATAGCTGCATCAGGTCCGATCGACGTACCAACCTGTAATGGACCAATGGCGAATGAATTATTCGACCTCCAGTTTTCACTGCTGTCGTCCGCCTATACCTTCTCTTGGTCGTTACTACGTGCATCCAAACAGATCTGGACGGTCGCACAACTACGCGCGCGCCCTTGCAAATAAATTGTCACCGTGCAACTCCGTGCAAAAAGGTTGAACACGTCGTTGGAAATCTGCCAGACGTCCCGCACTGTCACGGCGTCCCTTGTAGCGTCGCATATAACCTCCTGGATATGCCATGTATGCCAACAAATTTCTGGACGGACATACCTTTAAGTCTTGATGATTCCTTCTTTATCGACTGACGGTATTTTCAATCTCTGTATACCTTTAAGATATTCATATTTATTGATCATCTTTGTGTATGGAGAAAGTTTGAATGCCATACAAATATTAGGGATATAAAAATGGCGGTCTGGAACATTTTGTTGAGGGGAGGACGAGGAGGAGTAGACGCGTTTGCTGCAGAGGTGTAATACAAGAGACTGTCTTGGAGAGGATCGAAGAGCGAGAGAAAGAGAGAAAGAGAGAGTCTGGTTTTGGCAGATCGAGGTATCATGATACCAAAGTTGGTCCATGGTCCAGAAGACGATGTCAAGGAATTAGGTCACGTCGGTGCCGTCACCCATGAAAAACAAGTTCGAATTTCTCGGTACTCATAGCAGAGTCCTTTTCAATGCCAAAGCTTCTTGGCTATGATAGTTTACAATTCAAAGGGTCCCAAAAAAATTTTAAATATCCATAGCTAAGAAAATTCCCTTGATTATCATTTTGGATTTTCTCAGGGATTAACTATTTTGAATTTTTTAAAATTAAAATTCGTAACAATGCCAGTGCCAACTTACCAGTTAGTAGTGATTCGTGAGAAGCTGTCATTTTTCCCCCGAAGATCAGACGTAGACGTAACGTTATCAAGATCAGTGTCAAAAGTGTATACTGACTGCAATATCATTTCTCTCGTGCCTAATCGAGAAGTTAGTCTATCAAGAGCGGGAAGGTGAAAACTTTGTGAGAGAGTAAATTTTCCAAAATTTATCGGGTAAGAAGGGCTCCTTTTTATTAATTCCATCTCCTCCACTCGTAAGTCACATATTCACAAAAAGAAAACACTCAGTATAGGAATCACTTAAAACTCGAATATTTCTTGATCCTCGAAGATATATTAAGTAGACGGAACCAACGAATCATGCCTTTTATTAAAAATTCAATTTACATCGCTTTATTTTCCGGATCCAGCAATCGTGATAGTAGACATACCAAATTTTTGAATTTTCCCGCAAAGACATAGCGCTCGTTACGAATTTCATCTTTTTCTAATTAACCATTTTTCTTTAACTTATAATGCGAGAGCTGATTTATATATAACGATGATAAAGTAATTTATTCGTTGCGAGGAGGATGGAGGTGCCTAGGGGAATTTAGCCCCTGCGCGGTACCAAGATTAAAACAATTAGCCGGGCTCCTCCCTTTGTTCCAATTTACTCGATATACCCTCATTTCTCTTACGCAATGCTCATTATCTACACTGCAATCGATTTTTTCCCCTCTTATCGACCGATGATCGAAACCGTCAAGATCACTGGTGTCGTTTTCATATTTTTTTTTCTTTTCTCGTCTGACCAATACAAGCAACAGCAAACATTAATTACTACTCAGATACAGACAGAAAGAATCCTGGCGTCTGCTTCGGACAGATTTCATCGGAATTATCTGAACTACATGCTTGATACAGTCAGACTCACAGCAGGATATTTGTATACAGCCTGTAGCGAGATGGTATTTCAACGAGATACGTTGTTACATAATCGTGCGTTATGTGCTACAAACGTCCGGTTAGACAACGCAAAAATTTCAGGGACTCGAGTCTTTTTTTTCTATCGCGTTAAAATACAAAACAGAAGCTGGACATAATATTTAGAGAAAAAAAAAATGATAGCTTTTATTTCAAACATGATACGTATTTATTGGTTAAAATGCTAAGTATTTTTATATCCGAGGTTGTTGAATTCTTATAACCTCTTTTTTTTATAGTTGAGTATATAATAAATGGCGTCAGCATTGTTTCCCATTTTGAAAGAACGGTTGGTGCGATTGATCAAAAGATGTTCAACTTGGTGTGGATATCCTGGAAATTAAATGTAATTAATTATTTAATCAATTTTATACGAGTTCTTGAAAATCTCTAGTGATTTAACTTACGTTCACTCCATTAGACGTGGCACAGGCTACGAATTTAGTGGTAGTATCGGCTGGGTCTTTTCCATCTAAAAATATAAGCAATTAACTCGACTGAATTTCACGTTATGGCTGTTTGGGTAGTAGACGATAAATCATACGGCGTCTCGTTGCTTTGATTTTTAAAGTTCATATATCGTTATAAAAAAGAGATAAAGTGGAAAGGCTCACGAAAATTAGGTGGTTTACTTGTTCAGGGTAGCCATTAATTTTTCGAGAATATTATTGTTTGGTGAAAAAAAAGTTTATCGAATTCAAACGTATTATCGGAGACACACAGAGAATTACCTTAATACTGTCGAATTTTTTCGAGCTATGGAATTAAGAAAGAAATGTCAGCAGCCATCTTTAAATGACTGTTGGAGAAACAAACAATACTTACTAATGGCGGAGCAGCTGTCTAGAAGAGGTTGGAATTGTGCTACCAGCTCGGGTGAAATGCCACTTCTAATCCGATCTGTGTCGATGCGGGTGCCTTCTTGCTTGAGCTATAAAAGAAAAAGGAATGAACATACTATTTTGTGTCTACCGTTGCCTGTATCACGTGAGCGGGTATCGATATGATAAGAAGTCCAAAAAAATGCCCAGGATGCACTACTGAAAGGAATTTTCATGTAATTCCCTGTGACGTATCTTTACGCGATCGACCTCACCGAAAAATGCAAGACCGATCGGCGTACAACTTACGCGATTCCTACGCGTTCCAGGCTACCCAGGGGCTACCAAATTCTACACGTTAAATACCTACGATTTTATTGGGGCCAGGTTCTAAAACGGGTACCACTTATCAATTCTTACGATTCGTCTTCGCGTGCCTTTGTTGGCTAACTCACAATCAGCCACGCGGAGGCGTCGGGATTCGGAAGAATAGATTCGGCCAATAGGTCGAATCGGAAAAGCAAAAGGAAATAATAAAATAATATTTCATAAACGTTAATAGGCCCTTGCGGTCGGTGGATCCTGCCTGGACTTTTGCCGTGGCCTTACGCCACTATCGCGTTTCGACGTGATTTTCCGCCGAGGACACGTCGGGTCAAATCCACCACGTCACATCCTATACGAAAAAGAATAATAAAGACTGGACACTTCGCAGCTGGAAATTTGAGTAGTTCTTAAAGTTAGCTCAGGACTGATCCCATATGACAATAGGCACTGGAACTGCTGCTAAGTTCAGACATAACGAACGTATGAGTTATTGTTAGTGTCCCTTGAGCCACGAAGAGGCAAACCAGTCTATCAGAGTCTAAAAAAAAATGTATCACTCACTATGTTACGTTCCTGCAAGTAACAAGCCATATAACGCAGAACTGTCTGTTTCTTTTCATCTGACAAGGTTGATTTTTTCAAAGCGTCCACGTCGCCTGAAGAAATTTGTAATAAAGAATAATTAGTAATTAGTGAACGAACAACTAATTAACTACGTATAGATATACTTTATTAGATGATTTTTCCACGCAGTAAGTTTTTATGGGTTCTTGAAAAAAAATGTATTTAAAAAAAGACAATACTTACCTACTGTCAAACCAGTAGACTGATAACACTTTTGCTTAGCTGCATTCCTGTCGTCGGCTGTCGCGTCGTCTGCCTGTGTCACAAATGAAATGATCTTTGAGTATCAAGTACTTTGGACAGATCATGAAAAATATAAAAGATACATACTAATGTCGCAGAAACGCAAAGGATTGACAGGAGAATAAAAACCTTCATGTTTCTCATCGGTCTCGTAAGAAACTAACTGATCAAAGACAGGAATAACGAGTCCTTATATACGCCTGGACACACCAATTGACAAGCAGAACCAGTCGACGATGATTCTCAAACAACAAAATTAACACAAGTATTGGTTACTCTTTTTTTTTCGTTAAAATGCTCATAAGGATGTACAAAGCGTTATGCAACTTGTGCTTACAAGACTTTATTTCAGTCACAATATTTTGACGTTCCTAAGTCAGACTTTGGTTTGACGTATTGATATAGTGTCAGAATTACATAATCAGCTGATACGTGAATTAGGAAGAAAAACATCTCATGTACACTGTGTGCAGAATTTATGTACGTATGCAGCGCGAATACTAATTTTGAAGGAAAAAACTTAAAAACTGTACAGCATCGCCCGTTGGTTGTTGGAAATTTTAATAGCTGATACTGGGCGTAGAAAAAAAAGATGCATGGATCGGAATAACAATACTAAAGGGAAATTCCCGTAGTCAAATGTTTTAGAGTTATTTGTTAGAGTAGCTAGAGATATACGATACGTGACACGTGTTTACTCATAATGGTCACAGACCCAAGGATTAGGAACGTGACGCGGACATGGGTATGGAATTACAGATTGGCAAGGTTTATGGAGGCAAGAAAGGTGAATGTTGAGTGTAGGGAGGTGAAGGTTCCGAGGCATTAAAAAGGCCGTAAACAAGATAGAGCTAGCTGCCTCGTACACCTCGTAGTCCCTTCCTCCTCCTACTCTAAGTCCAGGAGTCACGCTCGAGCTTCGTAGTCTTCGAAGTATTCTGCTTCGCTTTTTCAAGCCATCCGCCCTGCCTTACGTGTGGACGAAGCTTTTCTAAAGGTATGCTCCCGGTATTGTACCTTCCTCCTGCGGTTATTCCAGTCGCGTTTCATACCCGTCGGTAAAAATGTCCTGTGGGGATTTTTTATTAGGAAAGTCTCCAGTACTACCAACTGTGTTTATTCGTGATCAGCGACATCTAGCATAGTATTCAAATACTATGATTTTCCGTAATTTACTTCACAAATTAAATCACCATTCCATTGGTGCAATTCAGTCGTCTCGTTTACACGAAGGAGACATTTTTGAGGATCTGCAAATTTCAAATATTATCGTATAAGAAAGTCTAGTCTCACGGTATAACTGAAAAATAAGTAAATAATAAAAAAAATTTCTATTACCCCAGGCTGCGACTTGAAGTAGCATTTGGCAATCTGAAAAGCTTTGTCACAAGAATCTTTGCCGGCTGCAATAAACAATTTTCTCCATATAATTCCCAAAGAGCAAATTGAATTTACAAAGCTGCGACAAGACACTTACCCGAGTCCTTACAGCGTGCGAGAATTTTTCGTGAAGGCTCCTGTAGCTTTCTTGGTAAATGCCTTAAGGCCTTATCCACATCGACGTAATTGTCCTCGCTCATAATGCCATTCTTCACCATGAAACACTTGAGGTAACACTTGACACTGTGGTCTTCCTGATTGAAGTCGCCAGCCCTGAGCTTCTTCAGCGCAGCTGTCACCGCGTTACGTTTTTCAGACATCAAGATATTCAAGTGGAATCAAAAGGTAAACGTACTCACCCCATGATACTCCGCTTTGCTTTCGACAATCTCGCCTAATATCGGCCTTGACGATCACCTGAATCCATCAATCTCTTTCTAGTATAAAAGGAAAAGGTAGGAATCGGTACAAGCGACGTGTCTGGTTGCTTACCATAACGGCAACTATAAAGGTGATGAGAATGCGGCTGAATCCCTCGAGGGCTTTCATGCTCGTTTAAGTGCGAAGGAAGGAAGCGTCTTCGATACTCTGGAAAATGTTTATGCGTTTAGAAGATGGGAAAGTCGAGGCGTATAGTTTTACTACCATACCGTACGATCGATCATGCAGTCTCGTAAATGTCGAGTTCGATTAACGATTGCGATTGCCGACCTCATGCGAGCTTCAGTCACAATTGCCTATTTACCTCGACATCGTCCCTTCTACCTCCTATTCGACTATTCAACGTTTTCGCTGTTTCGTCAAATAGGTAATTAATTATTTACACAGTACGTAGCATATATATCATTATACTTATTACCGCGAGTTAACCCTCAGGGAAAAAGACTACTGGCATCGCAAAATTACTACAAATGAATACTGAAACCTACTGAAATCTCAACAGTAATCAGTAGTGATTTCGTGGTGCCAGTAATGTTTTCCCATACGGGAATTTCCTTGTCACACTACGGCTTGATTCCACCAACGTGGTTTATTGTTTAAATACGATTTAACTGTGTGATTAGCGAATGAGATATGTGAATATTGAAGATAAACGGAGTTTCGGTATTGTTCTATGTTGGACGTATATGGCCTAACGCTAGTCAATTTCAAATATGAAAATAGAACGGGGCTAAAAATATGAAGTTTGACATCAATGGATTAGTGGTGGTAAGATCGATAATTTCTCCTTAGATTAATGACGGAAAATACTGCGATACCAGCTACTCGTTAATTCACGCTGCAGTGTAACTCAAGTCGATCGAATTACTGTCATGATGATTACAAGGTTTGCGAGAACCTTGAACATTTTATCGATACTTACCGACTTGCTAATCAGCTGCCGTAGTTTTCAGGCAAATACGAAAGGGAACCCTGGAGTCTTGTTAATGCAGAGTCTAGGAGCTTTGATCGATCGTCCGTTTGCTGGCAAATATGCAAACCAACGAACCTATTCGTTTATCATCTGACACTTGGGTATATATCGTTTAGAATTTTGAGTCATTCGAAAGCTTTAAGTATCTTTTTAACAGCTTTCACTGTCTTTTACCGTATTATAAGAACCATTTGTTTCGAGCCAGTCTCTCGAACGCAGTCTTAAGCTTCGTTCACATAGGTCGACCTCTTTAATATTCTTCTAGTTTGAAATTTTCTCGCACTTGCGACGTTCAAACTTCTCTCGTTATTTCTGCCTATTAAATATAGAATCACAGTTTCATTTGTTTCAAATGATTTCAGTATTTTTTTTTCCTTTAGTAATTATTATATTCGTGGATATTTCAATCTATTGTTCCATTCTACCTTTCAACTTTCACGTTCTAAGCTAGGAATAAGAAATTCATACGAGATTGATTCTCCGTACGATCGATCGAGGCTTTCAGCCCTGCCGAATAACCTGTATATTTACATATTCATACGCAATTATGTAATGATTTTTTTTTTCAGAAATTCGTCATATGCGTTGTATGTATATTGCTCACGATATATATACTGTATATTAAATGTATTAAATATATGGAAAATATCAATAATTAGGGACCGATGAGGAAATGAAAATTGTCAGAATAATCCGACACAAAAAAAATCAAAACAAAAATTTAAGTAGGGGGATGTGATAGTAGTTAATCAATTACTAGGTTAGGGTCGGTAGGTTGATAATATGTTATACGCTGATTATCCACTATCAATCTTTTCTCCTTTGAATTTAGTTAAATCCCCCCAACGATAAACGATCAGATAATTTTCTTTTACAAAGCTAATGTCCTGGATGGATCGTACCCACAAACATTAGACACTGACTGGCAATCTAATCAGGTATTATAATGGGATTCCAGAAATCCCGAAATTTATTGTCCACCATTAAGTGAATTTGCTACGGATGGAAATAACGATTAATTCATTTAACAGGTAATAATTTTCTATTGACTTTTCATGGTTTACAACAACGATGTATCTTGACACTCGAATTAATAAATTTTGAATTTTACGTTAGGTCAGAAGAAATCAATCTCCTGGAACGCCTGAAAGAAGATAGTAATTTGAAATTTTTCTCCGAGTAAATTGATCTAGCTTTAGGATAACATATGGTAATTATCAATGCATCGACTCACGTTGTTTCCCTTTCGTAAACAGTTGAAATATTGATACGCTTTCTTGCAGGGATCCTGTTCGGTTGCTGTAAAAGTGACGTTGTAATAAAAATCCGATAACAATGCCGAAGGAAGATAAATAAAAGTATGAAAACGTGTTTTTCGTTAGTCAGCTGATTCCTGTATGACTCACCACGTTTCTGACACCCGAACGCTTTGCCCTTGGGGAAAAGTGGTTTGAGTTTGCGCCAGTCGATGCTCAACTCGTTTCCCAGGATCATCTAGGACAAAGTAGGAAAACGCTTTGGCAAACTTTCACCAATACCGAGTCCAGTTCCTCACCAGGTCCGATCTTACGGCGAGGCAAGCCAAGTAACACTGGAACTCCTCATCCGCAGGAAAGTATCCAGACTTTGAGAATATCCTCTCGTAGTTGGAAAACTCTGAAAATTTCGTGACCATCATAGCGTTATATTTAGACCGAGCCACGTATGTACGTACTTTGAGGAACAGCTGACTGCTGCTTGCAATACTTCTTTACTTCCGTCCACGTGGTTTGGTCGAATGCCTGGAAATGAAAAATTTGCCAATTGCACGAGGGGACACGAGGATTTTGAAATATTTGAAAATCACACTTTCGCCACGATGATCCATAGTGACATCAGGAGGCAATACTTCATTGCTCTGATCCTTCTTGCACCTCTGCTCTCTCCTTTCTCAAATTGATTCTATAAACTCTCTTTCTCTTTCTATCTCACCCAACGACCCACTAAAGAGAAACTTTGTAAGCCTGAGGTTTTATGCCATCGTGGCTGGACGTGAGCATTGCTTTTCGCAAACGTTTATATAATTTTAGTCGTAAATGAGCCATTACTGAGTAATCGAGCTTCGCCGTGTACACAGCTGCTAATTAATGCTGCTGCTTAACCATGAAAATATTACTGAATTATGGAAACTTAATAATCGCAGGCACGCTTATGGATAAATATATGCTGTATAGTTCACTAATGTGAGATTCATTCATATGGGATGAATAGAGGTCAAATTTTTCATGACAGTCTCCAAAAATGCCAGGGTGTTACGACGCTTTACATAATATAAGCTTTCGGTTCACGCCGTACGTCACACACTAGCGTAACGGAGTGTGCTGTACATTTATCTTTTTGTTTTATTAAATTCTCACGTTACTTTATCGTACAATTGGTGCGACAGTCAAAATGCCCTCACGCAGACAAAGCAATTTGGAAGAAATGTTGCCGGGTATAAATATATTACAGAATTAACTGGTCCAAATAATTTATTATACATAAAACTGTTCGTTTACACGTAGAGCATCAACGCCTTAAATAATATAAGTATATTAACTGATAAAAACGTGAATAAATTTTGATATTGCTTTCTTTCAGAATATTTTTTGGATCTTCGACTACTCGCTTGGATTCTTCAACTTGCTGGACTTCTCATTGAAGCAGACAAAAAACTGGTAACCTTGCTCACAAGGATCGTCAGCTTCTGCGTTTAAGAAATACAGAAAACGGATTGATAATAGAATCAGTAATTTTTGAAAACTTGCCAAACGGATGTAGTTTTCACTCATCGAAATACTCTGTGTACTCACTCTGTGCGCTGCACTCCTTGGCGAACTTCTCAGCTTGTTCCTTGGTGATACCATCCTTGGAGTAATAAATGTCAAAGGTTTCCTTCTTGAACTCACCATCTTTTGCCTGTGTACTCACAAGTTGATGGAATTTTATAAAATTCTTACCAGATGGAAGAGAAATACAATTTTTCAATTATCCTGCATTAACTACTCACCTCCTTGGTACGTCCAACTATGCAGTTGATGTAGCACTTGGCGACCTGGGGTTGTTCTGATTTGGGCTCCTTTAACAGGAACTCAATCTGTTCCTCAGTGACACCACTCTCCTTGCGACAGACAGCCGCATTTTCAGCACGTTGCTTCTCATATTTTTCATTCTTTTCTGCTTTAACATTCGTATCTGCAGGTTTGACTACCTCGTCGGCAGGTTTTACTTCCTTGTCGGCAGGTTTGACTTCCATCTCGGCAGATTTGACTTCCTTCTCGGCAGGAGCCGCCTTTGACAAAGACAAGTTCAAAATAGGAGTCAAATATATACCTAGTGAGTCAGGATGAGGACCTGGGATACTTACCAGAGCCACGGCAAGGAAAAGAATAGCGTAAACCACGAAGATCTTCATGGTTGAGAATTCTTCAGAATACTTGGAACACACGAGACTCTTCAGAATGTCTTCTGATGATCGTGCTCCTCGTGAGGATCTATTTTATACTAGCTGATTTATCCCTACCTTCGAATCCTTTCGTATCAAATCATCTGGATGGATTTTTTTTTCACAGGTAAAAATAATTGATGTAAAGGATCAGCAAAAAACTTAGACCATCATGCGTACGTCCGTGCAGAATAGTGCTCCTGGCTATTAGTGTTTCATACTAATTTTTTTTCCAATGCATAAAATATCAGTTCTTTTAATCTTTCCTTCAGACTCTCCAGTGTAATGGGATACAAAATCAGCTGTCACGTTTATCGAACCCGAATGGATTTGCGCATTAATATAGGGGAGCCATTAGGAATTAGCAAAATATCAAAGTCAGATCTTGTGAGAGGTCTTCGACCTTTTTACCAACGGTAAAACGATCGGATCAGCGATTTATATTATAATCGTATGATATGCTCCACATGACTCCACGCTTTTACATAGGAATACTCTCACGTTTAAATATCTCTAGGCCAGTAAATGATCATCCGTATTCGAATGCTTTCATATGTAGCATAAAGAAATACTGATTCATCTGATGAAGTTGGTAGGCACGTGATGGTAGACAATCCAAAATGAACAAAAGAAACGAAGCAGGATCCATTGTAATTTATACAACGTTTTGAAGCGAGAGATCAGATCCTTGGGCATATTTTTTTGGGAGAGCAAAAAATATTCATCTTCAACGATTAAATCGGTGGACGAGAGTAATTGGTAATGACGACGTCTTGGCACGATGGAATTCGAACCTACTGGAGTTTTTTTTTTTAAATAACATTCATAGGCCTACTACTTTTACCAATATTTGCTAGGCGTAGGAAATACATTTCAGATCAATTTTGGAAATCTAATAAAGGCCTACACGTGTTGTCTGCGGTTAGGCGTCCGATTCATTCAATTCTATAGGATGTAGCCAATCGCAAAGGTTCTTAGTAGAAACGGTCGCGATTGGTCTACTCCACTGGTGAACCTAGTCCGTTTGATTTGAAAAGCAATACGCAAAATGTGGCGCTCATAATAAAACCGCTCCGAATGAGGTTATCTGCTATCTGGTATAAGTATTTACCTACATATTGAGTGCATGTGCCGTTTCGAAGCGTCGGCGTCGCGCTGTAGCGCTGCCGCATGGTGGAAGCGAGAGAAACTGAGAAGAAAGTAAAAGAGAACCGACGAGGAAGAAGAGAGAGCCGATTAGTGATAAAGCAGGTAGCTCGAGAGAGAAGTCGAATGTCGATAATATAGGGTGCTTTAAGGGTTCAGGTTAGGCTAGTGAAATAAAAAACAACACAGGGGCGCTGCGGCTACGACTCCCCGAGAATAATCAAAATCAATGCAAGTGCGGTGTTTCGTGTGTGGTACAAGTGTTTTAGATTGTTTTCTCAACACCAAAGATCATGTCCAACGGGCTGACTTTGCTGACCAGCAATCAGCAACAACAACAGAGGAGTAGGAAGCTTATTTATCGATTTTCTAAAGATTGACGCACCTCTTTCCTGACTTAAATATTCTTCTTATTTTTTAGATTGCAACGCGTCGGTGGTTGCCGTTGCCTCGGAGGGCCACCAAGAGAGGCACTCAACGGGGGTGAGTTTCTGCTAATTAAAATTATTTATAGACCTTAGACTTCTCTTTCATATTGTTGCTGGCTCATTTCTACCTTTGCAGATGGATCAGCCCAATATGTCACAGACCCATCTCAAGAGATCAGCAGATTCTGAGATAGAAGGTTAGTCCCCCTCGTTGAATGCATCACCCTTATGCCAAGATTAATAGTGTCAGTTCCCTGCATGCTTGGACCGCTCATGTCTGCTGTCTATTTACTTCATCGATACAGCAGCAGTACCTATAGCAAAGTACTGCATTGAGAGTACTGGACTTTTGCCTTCTATATAGGGAAAATGTGATTCTCTGAGTAAGATTCCTCGCATTCTTATACAAGATTCTTTCCTGTGTCCTCATTCATTCCTTTTTTGGTCAAAATATAGAGCAGTGCAATTCAAGCGTTTCATGCATGCATTCTACACCATACTAGGTGCGCCAACCCCCAAAAAGAGGCACAAAAACCCACAGCCTAAGAATGCCGTTTGTGCTCTGAACGAACTGAAGACTGGAGCTGTGTACAAGGTCGTAGGTCAGACGGGTCCTACACACGCACCGATATTCACCATAGCAGTGCAGATAGATGGACAGACCTACGAGGGCAAGGGCCGAACAAAGAAGATGGCAAAGCATGCTGCAGCCGAGCTCGCTCTGCGCAATATTGTGCAATTCAGAAATGCGCCGGAAGTTCACCAAGCGATAAACACTTGCCATCCGGTAATACCGCTGGAGCCAGACTTTACAAGCGACGTGACAGAGCGTGACAATCATTTAGTGAACGCATTTAAAACACTGACACAAGAACCAAAGAATGCAAACAAATTTTTGGATAAAGGTCCGGTGGCTCTGATCAATGAGCTATACCCTGGAGTTATATATAAGTGTGTATCTGACAACGGGGAGAGTTACGCAAAGTTCACAATAGCTGTCACCATCGATGGAGAGACGTTTGAAGGGACGGGTCCCAGTAAAAAATTGGCTAAAGCGGCGGCGAGCAAGGCTGCCCTCGCTAAATTGAAAAATGTTCACAGCTCCTCATTTGGCATGCCACTGCCAGTTCGCGTGTTGCCAAACTTCTGTAGTCCCGGGCACTGGCAAGAGCAAATGAGTTTACCACAAATGCTTGCCGACAAGATCGGCAAAATGGTTAATCAAAAGTTTACCGAACTTATGCAGACTAAGCCACAACATGCGAGACGCAAAGTCTTGGCTGGAATCGTACAGACAAAAGGACCTGACGCAGAACTCATCTGCGTCACGACAGGTAAGCATCGATCCTATCCCGACCTGTTGTCCTCATTCACATCCACATCCACTTAAACTGCCTACACAATTCATTAAGCGATCCCAGTAAGATCTGGCGTAAACTATCTTATTCTTCCCTGTCGAAAGGTACCAAGTGCGTGTCCGGGGAACATTTGAGCGTAAGTGGAGGAGCTCTGAATGACTGTCATGCTGAGGTTGTGGCGCGGCGGTGTCTATGTGAGTATCTGTACCGACATCTGGAACTACACACGCAGAATCGTCCTCAAGAGTCAATCCTTGAAGCAGTGAAGAAGGGATACAAATTGAGACAGGGTATTCAGTTCCACTTATACATTAATACGGCTCCATGCGGAGACGCTAGGATCTTCTCGCCGCACGAGGAGAACGAGGCGGTCGACAAGCATCCTAATAGACGCGCTAGAGGGCAGCTGAGAACCAAAATAGAATCCGGTGAGGGAACTATACCGGTAAAGAGTAGCGAGGGGATACAGACCTGGGATGGCGTGCTCATGGTAATTTATTCATTCTCAAAATCATTTTCAAAACTATGTACCTTGGACCAGTGGTTGAGTAACCCCTTGATCCTCTCAACTTTCAGGGCCAAAGACTGCTAACGATGTCGTGTTCGGACAAAATAGCTCGGTGGAACGTACTGGGTGTACAAGGTGCACTCCTTAGCCACTTCATCGAGCCAATTTACTTCCACAGCATCGTTCTTGGCAGCCTTCTAAACCCAAGCCACATGTACCGAGCAGTATGTGGACGCATCGAGAACACAATCCAGGGTTTGCCTCCTCCCTACAGACTCAATAAACCGCTGATGAGTCTTATCACGTCTTCCGAAGTCAGGCAGCCTGGAAAAGCACCGAATTACAGCGTCAACTGGACAATCGGTTGGTGCCCATCCAAGACGCTTCCCTGCACCGCACAAAACTGCTTTTGCAAAAGAATAATATCACTTGCAGGTCAACCCGAAGCCGAGGTCATTAATTGTACTACGGGTAAAGACGAGTTGGGAAAACCATCGCGGATCTCAAAGCAGGGACTGTTCAGGAAGTTCTTCACTCTTTTGGGAAAGCTCAACACAATCGATGATGCTGACGTAACCCAGTGTCGCCACTACCTCGAGGCGAAATCATCCGTTCAGGACTATTCAGTAAGTTCACGAAAATCTATCAAAAACAAAGTGCGCACCATCTACTTGTATCTAAAAGAAACGATGAAAATTTGTCTGAGATACGAGTCAGAGTATGGCTTTTTCAAACTGTTTTAAAGACCCATTTTTTCTGGCCGTAGCTTGCCAAACGTCAGTTGAAGGATGCGTTCGTCAGGGCGCAATTGGGCAGCTGGGTCAAGAAACCAATCGAACAGGATATGTTCGAAGTCGATATCTGACTAATCAAGGCGGCTCCCGCGGTCCCTCAGGATCGCACGAGATCCCGAGCTTTCGAGTACGTAGTTCCTAGCGTAAAATAGATCGCTCGTTCGGCGTGTCATGTCGCGGCAGAGTTTGGCACCAGTAAAGCATGAATCATAGGCTCACGCACGTAAGACCAGTCACACTACGTATTTGCATTATAGCGAACGAGTAACAGTAAGGAAGAAAGAAAAAAAAAACCAAGTGTTCGCGGCTAGTTCCGATTGTATAACAACAATCGCTAGAAAGATAGCGAGTAAAGATAAAAAAACAAGAAAAGAAGAAAGCGCGAGTGAGGAAGGCGACCAGGGATGAGGATGACGTCCTGTATCGACCGACCTGGTGGCAGCCCCACTCGAATCTTAATTGTTGATTATTCTTCGTCAATTCCGACGACTTCATAGACTGGTAGAAATGTAAGGTAATTAGTCAATTTTCGTTTATAATCTTAGAGTCAAGTCTTGATGATCGCGTAGCGGCCTTAGAAAGTCTTTAGTTCGTTTTGTCGTGTCGAACGGTGAAAATTTTCGAGGAAACCAGTCAAGCAGCACATATCCGACTTTTGAGTATCTTACGGCTAAAAGTATGATATACTCTATTAGGTCGTACATATATGATATACGACAAATTTTATCGCGAGATAAGTACCCTGAGTATTAGAGTTACCTAAGTTTTATTAGGAATGAGCCCGAGCAATGAAATACGGAGATCATCTCCGACTGCGTTAGCGAAGATGCACGGGCTCAGAAATTTTGTCGCCTTGCGACACTTGTATTACGAATCCTGTCCTCGACGCGTAAAAGGATCCATTGGTTCATCACGAGAGTTCAGCTAGTCTTTTAATGGTCGTCCATTTTTTTTTTTTTTTTTTTTTTTTTTTTTTTTTTTTTTTTTTTTTTTTTTCTAGTGCTTTAGGAGAATACAGTCGCGCGTTAAAGCGGCGCGAAGCGCCGCGAGTCGCAACCACCGAGGGCTGTGACCTTAAACCAATCTCGACGAAGTATTCATAGAACGCGTCACTTCGTCTTCGTGGTACTGTCGAATGAAGGTACGAATCCTCGTCAAAGACTTCGTCAGGTAACCATTGTTCCAGAGGCAATCCACTATTTCCGGAAGAGACTCTACACTGTCTCTTCCGCAATGCCGTAGCTAATACGTCATACATGAAAATGACTTCGACGAGGTATCGCATCGGCAATTCGCAGTACCAGTTTATCGTTAAGCTAATATTTTTCATAGTCAGGCCGAATTTTCGTAAGAGAGAGTGCGTTACCTGAGAGCGTATGAGAGGGATAGGAATAAAGAGCGTGGTAGGGAAATGCTTTATCGAACGTACCAGCCTAGGCCTCCGAGGCAATTTTGACTGGTAATTTTGACATTATTTTTCGAGAGAATGTGTAAACGTGAAATTAGCGTGAGGTAACGAGAGAATGAAAGGCAATTGAGAAAGGCCGAGAGAGAGAGAGTGCGAAAGCGTGACAGAAAGAGGGAGAGAAGAAACACGAGCATCCCAATCGATAAGACACACCTATAGCGATCGCTTAGAGAGTCCTACGATAATTGCCTCACTGTGCCAGTATTAATTATTCTATTCAAATGCAATTCTGCCGTAGTGACACACTGCCCGATGTCGGTCCAGTTTTGCGCAAAAAGCTCAGAATCTTAAAATTAGGAACTTCTTTATTTCGAGAGCTCTCACGCGGGAGACGCGGTTCTTCAATAATTATCACTGCGTGAAAATTACGATGTAATTTTTAGTTTACAATAATGAAGATAACTACCGTCGCCATAATGAAATACTAGTTATACATGATAGTATTATTATGGATCGTAAGAGTTAATGTTACGCAATTAATCTTAGTCAATCATATACGTATCCCTTGGAAAGAGAGGAAACGCGAATGATCTGGATATCTGTTAAGTATTAGAACTACAGACTCTTTAATCGCAAACCCTCCGATACTCCTCAAGGAAAAACACGAGGAGAGAAAGGGATTGATGGAAGTCAATCCGTGTACCTGTTTCGTTTTAACGAGAATTCAATGATCTTTAATTTTACCTCTTTCAATGCTGGAAGCTAAAGCTCGTGTATAAATTGCGCATTTATGTTCAATATAATTTTCATTTTCAATAATTTCATTTTTGTCGTTCAATGTTCATTTTTTTCTATTTTCATCGTAACGACTTTAACAAATTGTATTGTCTTGTGTGGTTTTTACTAATCTCTTACGTACACTGAATTCTATATGATTATTTATACGCGTGATAACAGCGCAGATTTACGTTTGTCGATCGGTCCTTTTCACTGTGACATGTCTATGTTACGTTTTGTTAAATTATTTAATTCCAAGACTTATACTCTTGTCTACTGTAATCAGACCATAATGTCAGTGTCACTTTTAGGTGACTCTTTTATTCAATGACTCATAACGAAGTGGC